CTATGAGCGCCATCTGGTGCAATATAAGCGGATATATGACTAGCCATCATCCACCTCCCAATTTACCTGTTTCCATGGTGAATTAACGATTGAGTAAAATTTGAATTTCCTCCGAATCCGATCAAACGTTGTCGTCCCACTCAACCCTATTGCACACCTAGCTCACCTGAAATCCTTTTCAGTCATCAAGCTTTCAAGAGGGTGAGCAACGAACTCGGCATTAGCCAACTTTTCTTTAGAACGCGCCACGCATCCTGCTTTAAGTCAGAATCGAAGTAGCGCTGTTAAGGCGATTTGGCTCAATGGGTTACGTGGGCTAGCCGATGTACAAGTTCGTTTTCATCCACCCAGGCGAACCTGGTACCAATTATTCACAAAGGAAGGATTTGGGGCTTGGTTGGCCTAGACCAGGCGCGTGGTAAGCAGGCGACGTGTCACTACATTACCTTGTTCATCTAATAGAAGAGTTCAATCATATTTTTTCATGTTCTATATTAAAAACAAGGGCGGAAGTGGTGTAGTGGCAAGTGGCACGCTTACCACGCGAGCGGTCCGGGGATCAAATCCTGGGTCGTGAGTCGCCCGGGCCAACCAAGCCTTCCATCCCTCCGGGGTCGGTTAATTGGTACCAGACTTGTCTGGGAGGATAAAAACACTGACTTGTACATCGGCTGGCCCCCGCAAGTCATTGTATAGGCCACATCGCATTCAAACGCCACTACGAATGTACAAATGGAAGTAGAATGCGTGCCGCATCCCAAAAAGGGATTGATCAACGGCAAATGCTTTATCCTTATCCTTTATCTATAACAAAAAGGTTTATCTCAAATGCAAAGCCTTGGGCAGCGCATTTTGCTTCAGGCGGGATTTGAACACTTGAATGCACGTTATTCATCAGTACCGCAATCCCTTCCTCTGATCTTAGTGTTTAGTATAATTTCCAAACAAGTTATATCACTGCTAATACCGTATTCCCTTGACACTATTTTTTCAGTGATTGCCTGCCTTATAATCAAATCAAATCATTAGGTAAATAAGATACTGCTAACGCTGTTCACCAACCTTTGTACTGTATTTGAACCAACTTTTCGGCAGTTTTTTCGACATAGAATTCCAGACGTTTCCTGTTCCACCGTGCTTAGGGAATGTGAAGCAGGAATTTGGTCCCCAACCAAAATCTGCAGTCTGAAGATTATAGACTTCGTGTCTTAGATCTCAATAATGAGTATTGAAATGATTATGCAACAGGAAGAAAGTTCTTTCGTATGAACTCATTGCAGCACAGAGCCTCTCGAAGCTTCACTCCCTCGAGTATGTCCTTGCGCCCACACGTTGTTCCAACCGCAGATTTGGTGACATTGTGAGATGAAGGGTTCTGTAGCCAGTCCACACACTATGAACACGCAGCGGCATTAAAAGATGTCCATATTTCTCTCCACAATATCTAATCAGTAGAATAGAAATTCTATATGATGCACAGCCATCAACACCTTTAGCTATTGTGGAGTTGCGCTTTCAACTATAGAAAGTATAGGCACAAGGCTGCACCTGCAGATAAAGCAAAGTAAATGAGCAAACAAACAAACACTGAAGGCGAGGCTAATTAGCTGATTCGCTGCACTGCACTGCGGAAAGTACGACTAAGAAGCTTGTCACTGGCGAGAGAACTAGGCTACGAAGCAATGGTGAAAAGAGAGAGACGAAAGGCGACAAGCACATCAATGGGTTTATTTGTGGGAGCTCAAAAGCAGCTTATTTTGTGGACACAGGCTAGGAAGTATCTAAGCTCCCGGCATCCTTACCCTTCACGTTCGAGCTGTGGGAATGGCTTATCAGATCGCTTGTAGATCGTTTTAATATACTCTCACCGGGTTGTTATGCTCATGGATGCGTTACGCTGTTAAGGAGATTTCTGAATTAAGAGTTCGGAAACAATGGTTGTTCTATAGAAGAAGCCACGAGGTAGAGCAATAGGCAAATGGAGACACTAGATGGTAATATTGCCAAGTACTTTGAAGAGGAATGTCATTATTCAACCGTGATTTAGTGTAGTAACCTTTTTCGTGTAAGGCTTGAAGAAAACGTCTAAGATGGTGGGTCCGAAATGCTTCAGCACCCAATCCTCGAAGTTCTCTGGTACACCGTCTGGTTCCTGAAAAAAGTTCAGGTAGTTTAAGTTGAATTCTTTGAACAGGAATGTGAGTACCTGCTCGTAGCGCTCTTTCAGATCCTTTAAACAGTTCTGCTTAACCTCTTCGGGAAAGAGTGGTATAGCGAATTGAGCGGGATACGGTACCAAGTGAATACCAGCCTTGTCGTAGAGGAAGTTCATGTCTACCTGAGAACGTTTGTCGATGTAAGAACAGTGGCAAAATATTTACATCTATTATCTGGCATACCATGCAGTTTCGCTGTAGACTGTTCCATTCATCCACAGCCCATTTCACGGCTTTCTCATAGTAAGGGAAATTGTGATTGAAAGTGATGTGACCGCCCATGTCCCACAGAAAGCCTTGCTCATCCTTGACGGTGCATGATAGACCACCAGCGTAGGATTCCTGTAAGCGACATGAAAACCCTTACAGTAATTGGTTTTGAATGTGAGACTTCGCTCTGTTTAGATTTTCTGAATGGCACCAACTTCTGACTACAACGGCATTATACAGGCAACATTTTTGTAAGAACCTTTACAAACAGCTCGAACATTTGAGCACTAAATTTGCACCTGTGATATCTTGTTTCCTGACTTAGTTCTGATTTTCGACAAATTGTGAATGCATAGTTACCTTTTCAAAAATGACCATCTCAACATCGTCAGCGTTGCAGTTCTTCTCCTGGATGAGTTCATTTAGGCGATAAGCCGCTCCCAAGCCTGTCGGTGCTGCTCCAATACAGACAATGCGCATTCTGAAGAATCACTACTAACAAAACACAGCACAGCACACAGCACAGATCACTCATCATCATCGCCAGGGAACCTCTATGATCGCTACATAGAGGTTCTTTGGCGAATATTTGCACGCTACATTACAGTGAAGAGGTACGAAGGTGGTATAAAGGAAAGTGGCGCTGCTACTACACATGTTCTGGGTATTAAATCCAGGTTCGCATCACCGCTAAGCCGACGATGGCTTCCATGCAGCCATGGTAAATTAATTTGTAACTATTTATTGGTTGGAAAGAAAGTTATTTATTGGTTGGAA